GTTACCGATGGTTAGAGACACTGAGTGATATGGCTGGGTGTCGCAGAGTGATGCTCATGCATTTACTCATTATTCTTGTAACTTCAGTCTATGAGAATGTGCTACCTTTCGCCTAAATCTGCTCTCAATATTCTAATCTTTATTCGGCTATTCTACCAAATGGGCAACTCGAACCGGCGCACTAATGTGCATGGTTAATGGTTGTAAGAACTAAACTGAACTGACCACCGATGTCTCCAAAGCATTATTCGTGTCTGGTGGGAACACCTGGTTAGCAATGACGAGGTCCGTCGTTGTGTGTTGGGTATGGATTGTCGTTCTCTAACAGAAGTGATCGCTCTACACGGCGTCCGATGGCTTGGTGACGTATTGTGTATATCTGCCCATCGACCACCTTTTCATACTCTGTTCGCACGTACCGGGCAACGCTGGAAAAAGCGCTGCGGCGGTCAGACCATGAAATGGCGTAGAGATATGAGAAAGCTGCTTTCAGCATTGGCTTCGGTTGGTACAGCCCATCTTCCAGGTTGTGGCCCAAGGGAAGAGGATTGTCATTGGTTAGAGACGCTGAGAGAATTGGCCCAGAGTAGAAGTCAGTGGAGCGAGTGCTGTACGGTGTCTGTCGAAATCCCCTGCCACGTAAAAAAGAACAAAGAATATATATATATGAACGTTCCATGATTTACTTGTGGGCTGGATATTACCAGGTTGCTCAGCCCAAGGCAGGTGTATTTCCTTTGGAATCCACAACTGGAGCCTTTGGCTAGCCAGAGCCTGACCCGCAAGGCAGCGGGGCGGTGTGTGAAACCGCAATCCATTGGAGACCGATGTCCAGTTCATCGGATCATACGCCTTTCGGACAGCGTCCAACGTCCAGGGTGCCTGATACACCTCGACCACTACCCATTCGGTTAATGGTTTCTGCAAGTAAAAAATATACAAATGTTTCACCGATTAGTTGATCAAATACACAGAATTTGGTTAATTCGACCAACCCAAATAAAGCGCTTGTGATGTCCGTGTGCGCATCAAAACTAGCTTTTATCATGGTTTTATAAATCAGTTCATGCATTAAAAACAACGTACTAAATGTTGGACTCTTCGTCCGACAACTGAATTCTTTTCCAGAGCAATGGATATGCCGATATTTGCACAGATTGATCAAACCAAGACATAAGTTGACAGTCTTGTATTAATAATTCAGCCAATATATATATATATAATGGTGTATTGGCATGAGTAGAAATCACTGAAAACAAGCTTGCTCGCCACTCATCTTGTTTTATATGAATTGTGCTCCGTGGGGCTATTTCGCCCTTTTAGCAAGTGCTCTGCGTAGTCACTGTGCTTGTTATCCTAGGACCCCGCAACCTCGGCCGGTTTTGGTAATCAATCAAAAACCATCTTGTCTTTCTCCTATTCTTTATCCAGATGGTCAGCCAATAGACAGCAACCAATACCGGCTCACGAAAGTGCATGGTTAATGGTTGTATAAACTGAAACTGAACTGCGTATTGTGAGCTAAATGCTGCATATAGTCACGTGACTTAACTAGTTGGGCCAGCGGCGTGCCTGTTTGAACAGCGTTCACTGATTATGTGTATGGTATGAGCGCATGATTAAAAGCTACGATGATAAACAGTCACGAATTCTCTGGACGTATAATCGCTCGCTTAAGAGGATACTGTTAGTGAAGGAAGCCTCAGCTAATCTATTCATCACTCTGTCACTCGAGTTCCGATCAGTCAGTGGTTGATGATCAACAATATCTCGTGAGATGACCCAGAGCNCAGAGCTTATCACTAAGCTATATCATATCGCTGTTTTCCATCATGGCTATGTACCATTCATCAAAAATGCGATATTGTTTCACAGATAAGATCCATATTGTCAGTTATATGTGACTGTAATCTTCAGTAGACTGAAACTCCCGGTATTTTCATCAAGCTGATCAATTTGAGTATATGAATTTTGTTTAGTCCACCATATACTATTTATTATGATACATATATGCATATAAGTAGTTATGACATCATCTAAGTTTCACACCTCGTCACTCCTTTTTGCTTTCCTCATGTTTAATATAATGTATGTTCTCCGAAGACCCTATGGCTACGCGCTAGGCGTTATTTATCGAGACTTCTCAAAAGCGTTCGATCGGGTGAACCACGACATTCTACTTCGGAAACTCTATAATCACGGTATTCGGGATCGAAGCATTTTCCCGACATCAGACCGTATCGGTACTTCCTGTTTCTGATTCGCTTTCCAGTCCCATGGACGTTACCCGTGTGGTTCCACAAGGATCTGTGCTCGGTCCGCGACTTGCCCTAACATTCATAAACGACGTATCGAAAACTCTGGGGCCAAAAATCATTACTGTTTGCAGATGACGTCAAAAGTTGGAATACATTAACGCAACCAGCGGGCTCGCTGGCACTCCAGGAAACGCTGAATGCAGTTCATCGCTGGTATCTTGTGAACGATATTGAGTTCGATTTTCCAAAGTGTAAGGTTCTATGAAACAGGGGGCGATTTTGGTATTGCCTCGGAGACGAACAACTGCCATACGCCTCAAGTGAGAAGGACCTGGGCATCATCAGTCAAGAAAACTTATACTGCTCATTCAACTGCGCTAAGGTGTCTAATGTAGCTGTAAAGAATGTTGGTTGGATTAAGCGAGTCTTTGGCCGGTTTGAGTCAGCGCTTTTCACCCGTCTACTATCAGCATACATTCGCCCACTCACAGAGTACGCAATTCAGGTATGGAATCCATGGCTAAAACATGATTGCAAAATGCTGGAGCGTCCACAAAGTATGGCCACCAACATGTTTAGGGGGTTTAGTCGTTTTTCATACGCAGAGAGATTGAAGTCGCTGGGGTAATATTCCAATCATTACCGGCGCTTCAGAGGTATGGTATGGTAAACCCAAGCCATCCGTGTCGCCCGCTGCTAAAATTTTCACCCAACGTTCATCTTGGTGGACATCCGTTCAAACTAATGGTCTCAAAATGCCGCTTGGAATGCCGGCGTCTGTCATTCGCAGTCAGTGTATTCAATGTGAAAACTCTCCCACCCCACGTCGTCTGTTCACCAAGCATTGAATCTTTCAAACTGAGACTCGATGAAACACTAGCATACCTTACATTCCAACATAAGTGAAGCTGCGTGCAGCAGTGGAAGAAGCCCGTATCGTGTGACATTTTAAACAAGGAACTGTATGCATCACTGTCTTTCAAACCTATAGGACGAGAAAAGTGTGAGCTTGTAAGTTATTGCCATAATAAATCTTTCATCTTTGAATAATCGCAGAAGAAGAGTGGAATTCTCAACAGGTTTCTGTTCTGTTTATTTCGATCATATCAATCCGACACGTATAAGTATTTTTCTTGAGGCAATTGAACCCAATCGATTATTCTTACTCCTATTTCAGGCGGTTGCCGAGGCTACTGACGATGATCTGATTGAATTTGTGGCTCCACGATTGTCAAAATTAATCAGTCCATGGGATCATCTGTTGTTACGCAGTGAAGAAGGTGACCCACCCCTACCACAAGTACCACGAGTGGTGCTAGACTATTTGAATCTGGTTGAGCGTGCACGTGCATTTCTCGGAGATCAGCTGGAGTTACGTCAACCAGTGCCCAAGAAACGCAAATCAGAAACAAAGAAGGAATCCTCGAAGGAAGAAGCTAACACCGAGAACGTAGTCGAAAGTGGTAAGTATGATTGCGTCGAGCACCTAACACTAAAAACTGTGTACTGTGTTCAGTGTCTATTTATGGATGCGTATAATATATTTTACACACGTCTGCAGTCAGACAAATCGTGATACGATACTTTTCATGAAAAAGAAGAACCTTCCGTGATTTGCATGTGGGCGGAATACTGCCAGGTTGCCTAGGCCAAGGCGGGTGAATTTTCTCAAGGTATTCACAACCGGTGCCTTCGGCTAGTCAAAGCTTGACTCTCAAGGCCGGGGGGACAGTTTATCAAAACCGGGGTCTGGTTCATCGAACCATACGCCCTTCGGATGGAGTCGAATGTCCAAGGTGTGCAATACACCTCGGTACCCAATGGAGCCAGTGACTACTGCCACAGTAAGTGTGTGTGGTTTGTATGCCTTTTCTTGACTGGCTTGTAATCAGAGTTGGTTCACCGACCCGGTTGTAGCCTCGAATGTTGGCTTTTCTTCCTCCCACCTTGGTGGGAAAACACCATCACGGAAAGGCAGTGAGTAAGGCTCCCCTAGCGGGGACTATCTGAGACGACTGGTTGTATAGGAGCATTTCATGAGATTCAAGGGATAGGTGATCAACCAACACCCACTCCCGGCTATACTGAGGCCTTCGGAGGCTATAGAACTAAAGCAAGGTTTTCCCGAGATCAATTTCAAAAGAAAAGTCCATATCGCAATACTGCACGATTTATGTCCAGGATAATTTCGCCGGATCATAACCTAGTGCATGCTACTGAAAACAGTTTTTTACGTAGGGCTTTAACGTAGGAACAAAGAAAAGTAACATGCGTTAAAACAGAGAGGGTCATATTGTAGCGAGAAGGCGATCTGGCTGGGAAAAACGTCTATTGATCCAATTCAAAAGCAAACGGTGTATGCGTTCGATTATATACAATCAATTCGCAACCGCGCGACGGGATGATATATGCTTCTTTCTGTGGGTCATTCCTTGTTGGTTTTGATCCGCACTTGGCACGTAAGTTGCCTCTTCTTCCGCGTGCCATTCCGACTGGTTTGACCCGTTCGCGGCGCGAGATCGACAGCTCCGACGTTGTGGCATTCGGTGGATATCTTTTCCGTTAGCTGCGGGTTGTCTGTCGGGCTGTAATTGTCGATTCGCTCGTTTCGAGTGGCAGTCAACATCGTCTCGCGAGGCATTTCCCGCCGCTGCGTCTGGTCGGATGAGCGCCATTCTTGATTCGGTCGCTAGCCAAGACTCCGCCTTCCATCACAAATAACCAGAGAGAGAGAGAGTAAGGACAAACTAACAATGCTCCTTGTTATTGACACAGTAAGGGGTTCCACCGATCGATAATGATCGCTTCTGTAAACCTGATCCATCTTGCAATTTGTGACTTGTAGGCAGTTGGAAATAGCGTGCTTCCGTTGATCTGGTGTTCCTTCACCAGATATCGAGCTATAGTTAATGACGGAGTCTCGCAGGTTTACTGTCGTTCCTATGCTGCGGACCTCGATTTCGTCATCTGACTTTGGACAGAAATTTAGAAAATGTTCAACCATCAGGTTACTTAATTGTCTAGTTCGTCAAGTTATGCTTTATACACCGAATAGGGTGAATTTTCAGCTCTCTTGGCTCTGTTCTGCCCATGTAGGTCTCTTCGCACCCACATTGGCGTTGATAGATCAAATCGGAGTTGGCCTGCAGAAGCAGACGTTATTTTACTGGGGGTTCGGGTATTCTAGTTGTCCAATAGACTGTTTGGAGATCAACTGCTTAGTAGGTTCGAGCTATTGTCTCGCTGAGGCCCATATATAAACTTTGTGTTTTATGCAGTATGCACCATGTTAAGATGTAGTAAAATCGTGCAGTGTTGTGATATTTATGTAGCCTTTATTTTTTCGTTAAAGGATGTTACTGATTGAGAGGTTTGAATTGTCTATGGTTCATTGATGCACACTAGTCAATTACTGGGTGTATGGGGGTACGCCGTAAGAGTAACACCTCTGACTCGGAGGGCTGTGGGGCCCCTTTGGGACATCCTCCGTTCTTTGGTCTTCACCAGGCTCTCAGCTCTCACCTGTGCCTCCAAGAAGCTGTTTGGATGCAACAGCGGCTACACCCCGGTTAACCGCTCGACAGGCGGGCCAAACAGGAAACTTCGAGGTCCGAAAGTGTGATGAAAACATTTGGAGATGAGGATGTTCCAGGTTGGATAGTGTTTCACAGCGTCTCTTTTCTCGTAGAAAAGGTGATGGTGACGGGAGGAGTGCACTAGTCAGGGTTAGTCTCTTGGCATGTGTGACTAACCGTTTTTGTACGAGACCCAAATGAAAGAATAAAAAGAGGATCTCTTTTTGATTGTACAGCAACCAAAGTAATTACGCCAGTATAGGTGTAAAGACGAGACTGCTCGAGAGTTAGCTAGTCACGATTACCCATAGCATATAAGGAATGGATGAATGACCTTACGCTGAATCCGGTAAAATTGGGTAAAAAATGGACTCTTCGTGTGACTATAGTATTCCAATATGGAAAAGTTTGTTTATGCATTTTATATTGTATGGTGCAACTAATCCGACATTTAAGCCGAATTATGCTGCCCCACAATCAGTTGTACAAAAGTGGAAATGATTGACTGCGGAACACGAAAATGTCTTAGTTTACGAACATGGATCGTGTCGAATACTTCACAAAACCCTATGTAACACATTTTCACGCATGACCGGTTTCGGTTGACCCTAATTATTTCCATTCTCCAAAATTGTGGTGGTGTGCCGAAGCAGAAAAAAACTGCGAATTCCTCTGCATTCTGTTTAAGCTCATACTTGCTTTGCACAACTGCGATTGAGGGCAAAGTGTTTCACCACCGTGACCACAGCAAACTGTAATTGATTATCACCCCACGTAATTCCGTTACTACTACTACTGGCATGTACGCACACACTCACCCAAATTTCAATCAATGGGTACCCCGTTAAATTGTCTGCCAATTGGTGCTTTATCCTTTTGGCTTCCAACTGGCAATCGCTCACGACTCACTCTGTGAATAAAAGTAGAAAAGTTCATCTGTAATTGAAGTTCCACTAATCGGCAAGTACCGAATTGCTTTTCTTCGACGCAAACATTCAGTCGTATGCCGTGACCCTATTCTCAGTTATTATTATTATTATTCGTTTCAGTTTCATCACATCGATAATGCTTACTCTCTCTCTCTCTCTCTCTCTCTCTCTCTCTCTCTCTCTCTCTCTCTC